CCGCGGTCGCCAAACACCAAATTGTCCCGAACATCCCGAGTAGGGTGCCCCGCCTCGCGCCCGGCCAACCCCACCCTGCATACCGCGGCCACCAGACCCCAATGTGCCCCGATGATCCCAGACATCCTGGGCACGCCTCGCGCCCTCGACGAACACGACAGAACACAACATGGCATAACAACACATGACATACCAAAACACAGCTTGACAGAACATGACAAAACAGCACATGTAAATGTCATGGCATACATGTCATGACAAAGAAGAGTATGACAGAACATCACAGAACATACCAGAGCATAACATGACAAAACAGAAACAAATAACACAACACACCCTGACAAGACATACCACACCATGGCACATCATCACCGAACATAAGATACCACGGCAACACCTTATAACGACGACGAATACGACAATACACAACATGACACAACGGAAGTTTACAGAACATAACACGAGCATGACAGACCATGGCAGAACAGAACATAGTAATGCCATCATCAACATACAACATAGCAGGCCATCACACACCATACCAGAGCAGAACATGCCATACCAGAAGGCGACAGAACGCAACATAACGAAACATAACCGATCATACCATACTACAGTTTGACAACACATAGCATGTCATGACACAACATCACAAAGCACATCATAACACTACAGGAAGGCATAGCGACGACGAACACGACAGGACACGCCATTGCACAACATAACATGAGATAGCAGAACACGAACATAACAACACATGACATTACAACACATAAACATGTCATTACAACATAAGGCATCACACAACATCCCAGAACATACCAAAACAAAACATGACAGAACGGAAAACAACACAACAACAGATGCAAATACTGCCAATACGGAACCGAGCATTCCATAACACAACTAGACAGACCATACCATGCCATGACACAGCATCACAGAACACATCATAACACGACAGCGGAGCATAGCAACGACGAGCACGGCAAAACACACTATGACACAACAGACCATGACAGATCAAGAAACGAGCATGACAGAACATGACAAACCATAATATGGCAATGTATTTACACAATCGGGCACAACATAACATCACATAACAAGCCAGGGCAGAACATGACCGAGTATCAGACGACAGAGCACAGCAGAACACAGCCGAGCATAACATAGCACACCTGGACAAACCTGAACTAATCATGACACCGCACCACAGAACATACCATGACGCGACAGCAGAGCATAGCGACACGTACGAGCATAGCTGAACATAATATACGATCCAGGACCGAGACGCCAACACACAAAATGACACAGACCATAACAGACAATGACAAACATACTAACAGATAACACACCATAACATAACAAAACGTACCATAACCGACCATCGCATACCACATCATGACAGAGCAGGTCACAACACACCATGACACAATCACATAACATAGCATAACACGACAGCGAAGCATAGCGACCCTGACTCACATAACGCATCACAACATACTATACCGAGACGAGCTGTCAACAGCAGCACGGAACATAACATACTATAACATACATCGGCAGTCGGATTGGCATCGCCATATCATAGTGCCACAGAGCAGATCCTACGTTAGCATTTGAAATAATGTGGTGGCGGAGTTGGCCATAGCATAACATACTCAAGCAGAAAAGAAGAACATACGTTAGGAGGAGCATCGTAACACACGACGCATCTAATGTCACAAGCGTGACGACGTCACGCCAGCAAACCGAACACAGAACACGACATAATAAAGCAGATCATGGAGAAAGTGACTGCGTGGAACGCGGTTGAGCCCTTTTTGAATCCAGATCGAAACGGCAGTCGTCGACAAATTTGGCGACCGCGCGCCGTCGGGAACAAACGCTTAAGGTTTCGGTGGGGATCGCTCGAAGCAGAATCGCTTCATCATGCTCCACAAAAGCCGCCCGATCAGTCTTTGCGCTCGCTGGCATATAAGTGTTCGTTGCAAAACTCCTGTGCCCCCCCGTCCTTACTCCCTCGCTCCAACGCGCCATCATTGTGCATCCTCCCCATCTTACTCCCTTTTCTGGAGGGGTGGCGCGCAAAGACCGACGCTTCCCACATTTGGCAAACACGCGGAATATGTTGGGCGCGCGCGAGGCAATCTGGAACGGACAAGGCATATACCCACTGATGCCATCATCGAATATATGTGAGTGGAGGAAGAGTTGAGCTGGAGTGCGGTAAACATGGACTGGAGGTTGCCAGTGAACCACGTTAACTGCAACTGGGCGCAGGACACGTTTTGTCGGAAGCGGCGTTGGAAGCGGCGTAGAGTTAGTTCGGGCATGTCCCCCTACAGGCGGATTTTGCAAACACGTTGAAAACAAGTGTCATACCAAAAATGCTCACCAAGATTCAATAATCAGAAAATCGCACCCCGTACGATTTTCGAATCTGTTTGAATATTCCTCCTGTAGAAGGACATACCCGACTTAATCGTAGAGATGGCGTATAGACAATCATCAGTTCTTGTATCTCAAAGAAATGGAGGGTTGCATGTGCCATTGCGTTGGGGTAGACTGGGTAAGGGTCGAATTATGATTATGATGGGGCGCGATACGATTAGGCCGACATGTGTACATGAGCGTACAAACTTACAAGCACATGCAATATTTTTCTGCCTTGAATCAATGAGGTGGTCGCGCGGATCGCGTGGAGCCCAGTAGGGCGCATTCAACCAGGGCTGAGATATATGCCAATTTGCATACGTGCACAAATCTATGCACATACGCTCATGCGTACAGATCGGCGGGCCCAGTGCGTACGTAGTAAAACAAGACCGGGAGACTGCGGCGCGCCCCAATCGCCGCCGGCACCGTCGGGACATCCAAAGTACAGAAAAACATCGTCGCCGGCACAGCAGCAGTACCTTGGATACCCAGAATGAGTCTCCGACATACCCCGTCAGTTTACAAAAATACTCAAACGCAGGATGTTGTGAGGTCGCCGGCGACGCAAAATACTCAACTGCAGGATTTCCTGCGCAACGCGCGCGCAACATACTCCAACAATACACCCCGCAGGCTTCAAATACTCAACATATATTCCCCCAGATTTCAAAGATAAGCAAATATTCAGAAAATACCCCCACATACTTCATGCGTTCCAGAACAACTCCAAATATATCCCAACCTTACCTGGAAATGCTCCAAATTTTTTCCAATGACATTTGCAGCATTTCGCAGTTCCATCTGCGGAGTTTCAGAATTATCCGCAGACTCTCCAGTGCCATTGGCGAATTTTCAAAATACTCCAAAGATGGCCCAGCGCAACTTGCGAATTCTGAAAAATTCTCCAAAGATGCGCCCCTGCCAATTGCAAATGTCCAAAAATACGCCAGATATGGCCCTGCGGCGGTCTCTGAGATCCCAAGATACCGCAGGAGATGCTCCCCGACCATCTGTGAGACATCAAAACACTCCAGGACGCAGTGCGTGACCATCTTCGACAACTCCAAATCATCCCGAAGATGCCCCCGATGTTCTCCAGAAAACATTATCTTGATCGAGGTGGGCCCAGTGGCCCCTCCTCGAGAACGCGAAGGTCTCGTAGAAATGCCCCCACTTCGTCCGAAATCGTGCCGCTGCGGCATCTAATGTAGTGGGCTCGCTAGCAAGTTCAAATGCTCTGCGTCAGGACTGCCAAACGAGCGACGCGCACTGCTGATGCAGTACCCTCGTGGGCTGAACAGCGTGCCACAATCTTGCCGAGCGCATGTCGTTCCGCGCCGGCGCTTCTTGTCTGCCATCTACACGTGCTGCGATACGTGCTTGCCCTTTTGGATCGTCTACACGCTTGGATTGGCTGTTAGCCCGCTCCCCTCCCATTATTTTTGCATTGCACAAGCCACAGTGCCAAGAGCGAGGTGCAGCGGCACCTCGCAGCGCGGACTGCCACCGGCGCCGTTTTCTGGTGGCCCCCCTCGCGTGTCCGCATGGCAAAAATTGCGTCTGTCGCTTGTCCTGGAGGCGCAAGGCCCACTGGCAATGACCCGTGTGGAGCCGGCCGAGTGCGCAGCAGGGGCGGGTCGCTCTCGCGCGAACGCGAAGCCATGAATTGTCCTCCTCCTCCTCCTCCTCCTCCTCCTCCTCTTCCTCCTCCTGTATCGAGTTTCCCTTGCCTCGAAAAAGTGCGGCCATAGCGTACGCGGCTTTTGGAAAGGCGATCCCTCTGTCTGGCGCGCAGGGCACGGTGTGTTCTGCGCGCGCCGAAACACGCAGGGCAGAAATGACGAAAACGAGGCAATGCTCCAGCAGGGATCTCGGCTTTTCTGGAGTATGTTTGAAGCATGGTCAAAGTATTTGAAACAGTTTTCCTCTCGTCATCGACGGAGTATGTTTGGACTAGTGCTTAGTATTTCACCAATCGCCTGCAGCAGGACATGCCCGACATACACCTAAACCCGGTGTCCTAAAACAAGGCAGTCCCAGCCAGAAAGGTTCTGAAAACATGTCGCGTAGAAACCACAGGAGGTTCTTAGAACACTGCTTGATGGGCCAACGGGCACGACAAGACTCGAGTAGGGGATCGACCACAAAATTGGTTTACCCCCAAAATTGATTTTCTCGTCGAAACCATGAAACGCACGCGGGCATGATCTTCATAATTTTACGTTTCTGTTTCCTCGTACATTCGACGAGAAAAACCATTCGGGGGTGAACCAATTCTGTTTTGGAGTCCCGAAACGGTGCGGTAACAGACCGTGCGGTGACCTCGAAATCCCCCACGACCTCACCGCTCGGTCCGTCACCGTACGGTCTTGGGACCTCGGAGACCCCAGGCTCCCGACACGTCCTCGGAGAACGGCCCGAGTCCCAAAACCGTGCGGTGACCCCGAATCCCCACCGACTCACCGCACGGTGTGGTCCCCACACCGCTTGGGGGCCCCAAATCTGCAGTCGACCCCCTGCTCGAAGGACGCTTCGCCACTGCTGGAGCCCCGCGCCTGCTCCCGCGGGGGCCGCGGCGGCTGCGCCTGCGGGCGGAGGGCGGGGCGGGGCGGTGGCGGGCGGCCAGCGCCCGGGCCCCGCCCCTCGAGGCGGCCACGCGAGGAGCCCCAGGGGGCGCCTCGACCGGGAGCCCTCGGTGCTGGGCCCGTTTTCCACCACCACCACCACCATAAGTTGGAGATGGAAGGGGGTCCTCCTCCTTCTCCTCCTCCTCCTCGTCCTCCTCGTCCTCCCCCCTCTCAGGCTGTGGTGCCGGACGCATTGCGGCAGTGCCTATGGACGGGAGGGGGGGGGAAGGGGAGGGGGGACAACGCGCGTTATGACACAGAGGGTAACAAAAACACGCTCTAAAGAGTCGAGTGGGACATCGGCTACAAAGTCGATCTACAACGAAAACTGGAGTCTCGCCGAATCCACAAAGAATGCGTAGACTGCGATCGTAAATCCACGAAGATTCGACGTATGTTCCGCAGACTCGACGGAAATTCCAAATTTGGAGTGAGTCAGTTCTGTAATCGATCTCCTACTCGATGTACGGGCTGGCGGGGGGCTGGGCGGATTCAACGGGCAGCCTCTGGTCCAGTCGCTTTCGGTAGACTGGCGGGTTCGAATCCTCAGGCCCTCCTCCTGCTCTGACATGGCAAAGCAGGGTCCCGAAAGAAGCGGGCCCGGGACACCAAGATTCCCGTGGGATCAGACGTCCACCCTGAGTAGTCTTCTGAACACTGGGTCGCTACCTGAGGGGGCCCGGGCAGGTAACGGTAACGTTAGGTCGGGCATGTCCCCCCCCCAGGCGGATTATGAGAGAAAAATAACAAATAAAAAATCAAACACTGTCAAACAAAAACAAACATCGAAAAATCGTCCCCGTACTATGTTTCTATTATTTGTGGCTTTTCCTACAGGCCCGACGTAACGGCAACGCTTGGGCGGTGTGGGACACGTATGGGCGGGGGTGCGCTGCGATCGCTGCAGTACGTGCGCGAGCAGCGCATTGGGGCTCTGGACGCCCGAAATATCTGGGGTACCTCGGGCCTGGGGTCACTCGGGTTCGGAATCCCGAGGAACGAACCCGAGTTAATCCTGACCCGAGTTGCCCCTGATGATTCGGGGCTCTGAGGTAACGATCGTTACGCGCTGGACGAACAACAAAAAACTCAACAACTACCTTAATTTGAGGAATGAAAAACGACCCTACCCTGGGTTACAAGTGCGTTGTCTGTAAATCTCCTGGGAACCCCCAAAGCCTAGAGAGCCGCTATGACGCCGCATATCGCGCAGGGTTTACCCTGTCAGCCCACAGGAGTTTCAACGCAAAGCGCCTCGTGAACCAGGGTAGGGGGCGTTCTTCATGCCCTTGACTCACGGCGACAATGACGCGGGCCTCCGGCCCTCCTCCCAGTCAGGCGGCCTGGCAGGCAGCCACATGTGGACCCTTCCCCCGCTGCCCATCGGTTTGCACGGGCAGAAGTCCACCAACGGGGGCTTGGAAATCGCGAGCGGTCGCGAGCGGAATGAGCCAGCACTACCAGAGTAACCCCCCCACGTGCTGGCCGGCGCGAGATGATCGACGCTGCTCCTCGTCAGCATCCTCCTCGCAGTTCGCCGGATGCTGCTGCTGTTATGTTCCTCTGCCTTCAGTCTCTGCTTCAGAATTGGCATTGCCGAGACACGTGTGAAGGGAGTTATTCCGCCTGATGTGTTGGGTGCCTCGCCCTACGTGCAAGCATCAATGCTTTTCCCCTACCCGCCTCAGGATAAACTCAAATCCTCTTTTCCCACATGCCTGCAGCCACGAAATGGCACGGCTCAGGCCCAGAGCCTCGCTCCGCAGACTGCTCGTCTCCCGAGGGTCGTTATCCCAGGACATGGCCTAGCTGTGTAAGTGGACCCAGATCCCTCTTGTGTCGAAGCCCTCGACGCACATTTCCGTTCCCAGACGACCCTGCCTCATCGGCTCTTCGGTTCGAGTACGGATTTCCATGACGTATCTGTCCTGCATTTCTTCGATCGTGTCCATGTTGCACTCCCCCGGTCCAGCCTGCGACGGGTGTTCTTGGATTGCCAGTGGCGGGGCCGTCAGCTTCTTTGCTGTGTTCTGGCACGTGTGTTTGATCCGTTGCCCCCCTAGCCCGCGCAGGTAGAACCGCCCCCTGGAACCACATACGATGTAGCGCCTCTGGCACCTCGGCAACCACCGTTAGAATTTCATCGTATAATGTCCGGTCGCGGCCGACATATTGAATTCACAATTGTTTGAGTTTTTGTCCCTGCATCCGCACGAGCACCCGCAGTGACGCAGCGGCGCCCTGTGTCCGTCCTGATGTTTTCACTGAGGCATCAGCGACCCCATGTCTTCGATCGCCATCATACGGCTGCTGCTCTTGCTGTTGCTGAAACTTTTCGGCCTGCTCCTCGAATGAGGTTGGCGGGAGCAGGAGCAGGGGCATCAGCAGGAGAACGAAGATTTTGATGAAACGAGTTGGAAAACAGCAACAGAAAAAATGAACGGCTGAGGGAGGACGCGAATATGAGGATGAGGTGGGAAACCAGCAGCACGACCAGCACAATCAGGATGGGGAGGAAAGGGACAACGGAACACCGCTGAGATCGCTGACAATGAAGATGAGATAATACGTTGGATCAGGGAAGGTCATCCAACCTCACTTGGCAGCCAGAAGCGCTACAGCGTAGGCATCCGCGTTAGCACCGTCATTTGGCGAAGCCCGAAGATCGTAGCGACTATGTTCAATGGCGCCGTACTCTTGGACGCATGCCAGCAACATCTTCCACGTGCTGCGCGGCGCCTTTTAGAGCGACCGCTCCATGTGGGATGCGGAGTGGATCGCCCAAGCATGTAATGATGACGATGGTCATGCTGATGATAGTGATGATGATGATCCCCACGTCTAAGGGGAAGAGGAACTCCCTGCTCATAGTGCCCGTCGGACCGAAACGTTTCCTTTTGGCCTCGCGGAGGCCACGCTCGGTCTCGTGCGCCTGGGCGCACACACGCAGCTTTACCCGAGCGCCCAGAGCAGCCATCCAACTCAACAGAAGCAACCAGGCGACAACTCCGAGCAGTCGAAGCGACCCAGCACGCTCGGCAACAGGCGCAAGGCCTCAGCTGCTCGATCTAGCGGGCTGGCGCGCAACTTGGCTGCACGCCGCGCCAAGGAGGCAACCTGTCCACGGGCCAGGGTCGCCAGACACAGTTGCCCTTCGGGCCAGCGGAGACAGGTCCAGAGCGCGGGGGGACTTACGCTCACGGCTCGCCTCCCGCATCGATTCAGACGCCCGAGCTGAGCCGTCGCAAAAAACAACAGCAGCTGCATGGCAGCGGAGCGGAACGCGAAGCGTGCCGTGGGCGGGCGCGAGACTGCACCTCCCTTCAACCGCGCAACGCGTCCCTTGGCCCCTGGCCCCGTGAACTGGCTGCGTTGCCGGGGCATGGGGGCGCGATCCCGCGCGCCAGCGGACCTGCACGACAGGTTCGGCTTCCGAACATGGCGGCGGGCCAGAGCATCGCGCACCGACGCGCCGTGCGGCAGACCGATGGCGAACCTTCGCCCGCGGTCCCTTCCGTTCAGAACGGCGATATGAAGCGGCGCTCCGCGCCAGACAGACTGGCACTCGCCTCCGCGACAAGCCCGCAGAGGCGAGGGAGCATCGCGCATATAGCGAGGCCACGCGCGCTGCTGCTGGACAACGCTTCGCCACCAGCAGAACAGCTCATCACTTCAGCGCCTGGCCAAAGCCTGACTTGTTTATTGGTTGCATCGCCGCTAGCATCGGAGCCTGGTCCCGTGCGCGAGCGATGCCCCGCGCCTGGTCCGACCTCCGCGAAGAGCGCCCGCGGCGCGAAAAAAGCGCGAACCGATCGCGGCCCAGCAACTGGACAGACACATGCACCGTGCCGGCAGCGTCGCAATGCCTCATAAACTCATGGCCCCAAGGACTAGCCGCGTAGCCGTAGGCAGCGGAGCCCGACCCCGAACGTCGGCGAACCTACACTCCTGGTTCAGGTTCCGCTCGGAGCGAACTGCGCGGAGGCGCGCGGCGCGCGACGGGCAAAGCCGCGCGCGCCGCGTTCGACGCGCCCCGCCATCAGCAACGCAGCGCGCCCTTCAGGCACCTGGCCTTGCCCATGGCATCGGGCCCGAACCTGCGCGCCAGCGAACTTGCGCACCTGGCTCCAAGCCCGCAGAAGAACGGCGTGGGAGTGGTCTAGCCGCGCGCGCGTCTACGCACGCGCCGAGGAGGTTCAGGGTCGCCGATGCCGCCCCTTCCACGCTTGCTGAAGCCCCCGCCTCAGTCTCAACAGCACCGCCTGCTGCCCCTCCCCTGCAGCGCGGATTCGCGGGCCCCGCCATCCTGACACTCTGCGTCTAGTAGCCGCACTGAATGCAGAAGAGGTGGCTGCCCGCCTTCCGCAGCTCGCGAGTCGCGGGTTTCGACCCCCTGCCATGGAAGAAAAACGCTGGAGGCGGCGGCGGGGCCGCTGCGCGCCGCGGCCTGGGCGCCGCCGGAGACGCGCCATCCGCTGTTGGCGGCCACTCCGTCGGCAGCTGGCCAGCCATCGCCATCGCGCCCTTGGCCTCCAACCCCTGGCTCGTCGCCCCTGTGGGCCGCTGGCCTGGCTGGAGAACAGCGCGGCGCCCGCCGTGGGGGGCGCGGCCGCGGCTGAGACCGCCCCCGAGCCCTTCTCCCCGGCAGCGGCGCCCAGCGCGTTCCAAGCGCGCCCATGTGGCGCCCCCGTCGATGCCCAGCCATGCGCCGCGTCGACCGCATGTCCCCCTTGAGCAATCGGGAAACGCGCAGTAGCTCCCAATGCACAGCTTGCAACACTGCCAGCCACGGCGGGCCTGATCGAGGCCTGGCTCCTCGCGGCCGCCCTCGGCCGTCAGCTCGACGTCGCCCTCCAGCGCGGCTGCGCCCAACCAACAGAATACCTTCCTGACGAGACAATCCTGGCGGACACAACCCGCTCGCGCGCGAACGGCGTCGTCGATCGGGCGCGCGCGGGCTCCCATTGCTGGCGCGCGCATATGCGCGGTGTGTGTGTGTGTGTGTCGAGGCACCGTCACTCAGCGATGCGCTCGGCCTGGACGTCCGCCAGCGTCGCGTGCGCCATCGCCGCGTGCAAGGAGAGGCCGTCGCGGCCCACGTCGTCGATGGCCGCCGAGAGGCGCGCCCAGAGCTCCCTGTGCGGCCGCTGCCGTTGTAGGCGCCGAGCCTGGCCCGCCTCGGCCCCGTCCACGAGCAGCCTGCAGTCTGTGGAGATCCTGATGGAAGGGAGGCAGTCATGCACGCCCTCGATGGCCGCAAAGAGCTCCGCCGCGCTCGACTCCTGCGGATAGGGCCAGGGCAGCGGCCCGAACGGTCTAACGTCCTCTCTGTCCTGGCCCACGGCCTCCGTTGCCCAGCCGCCTCTTGCTGATGCCAGGCCACGGTCCTCCACGCTGCCATCGGAGAAGGGGTCGCCAGTGAATGGTAGTCCCACATGGTCGGCTCGCCCCTCCTTCCGAACGTTCCTGTCCTCGGTGGAGAACCAGCGCCCTCCTGTGCTCAGGGGCGAACGCGCGCGACCACAAAGGGTCCTCCGCGCAGTTGAGGCTGGCCATGTCGACGATCGTCCTGGACTGAATATCGCCAGGCGGGCGCATCTCGTCGCCGTCGTCGTTGGCTGATATTTCCGCGCGGCCCAAAGCCGTCGCGGGGCACTGCCTCGCCAAATGCCTCACCGTGCCGTGGGCATTGCAGCCTCTGGGGCACCACGGGGAAGATGCCAGAGTACCATAGGTCGGTCCGGTTCGAAACGTCTGGCGACGGGCCACAGGCATCCGACCAGGGCGTTCTTGGCCGAGCTGAGCTTCTTTGCCGTCTGCTTGCCTATGCGCTTGCATGGAGTGCGCCTGGTGCTAGGCTGCGCGCCTCCCTCCGACAACTGCACAGAGCCTGGATGTCTGCCCACTTCTCGCCAAAGCACCCGTTCATGGCCTGCAGCTATGTGCTTGGCCAATGTGGATGCGCCCAAGGTCCGCGGGTCCAGCTCGCGCCCCTGCCCGTTGATGGGCGGACCTGGCCGCGCCGCTGTCCAGCCCAGGCGGTGGCACACCAAGACGCACGCCGATGCCGGGCCCCTGCACGCGAGCGCCTCGGGCCCCATCTCCGCCAGCATCGCGATGGCCCCCGCGAGCGCGCTGCCCGTGGCCCTCAGCTGCGCGACCACAGCCTCGGCCGCCTGCGCCACGTACGCTGCAACCTGCGCCAACACGTCGTCGAACAAGATCGCGGGCGAAACTCTGGGCTCCAGCACCCGCCACATCCGAACGTGCTCGTCTGCGAATGCAGAAAGGCAACGCTTAAGCAGCCGCCCCGCCTGCGCACAGCCTGCAATGAGGCCCGCGTCCAGTAGGTAGGCGTCGGAAACGCTGCCGTCGAACATGAATCTCTTCTCGCCCGCATAGATGGTGAGGGCCATGCCCAGCAGGCAAGGAGGATACTTGGCGAACACGCTGCGTTCCTGGATGATCGCGAGATCCACCAGCTCGTACGCCTTCCATAGGCCTATGAGCGCCGCCGCTGCGCTCTCCCCGCTGGCGTGTGAAGCCTCAGATCGTAAGGCTTGCCACCGCACAGCTTCCTCGGCGGCGCGCCCCAGAATGTGCCTGCGTGCCCTGGGTCGATCTCAGAGTCCCACAGCCGAGCATTAGGCTGACATACTCGGTTCCAGAGGCGGGAAACCATCCGAGCAGCCCGTTGGAACGAAGCCGCCCTGGGGCTTGGGAAGCAGGATGATGCTACTGCTGATGATGATGCTGATGATGCTGATGCTGATGATGATGAAGATGATGATGCTGATGATGGTGGTGATGATGCGGATGATGACGATGATGCTGAGTATTATGCTGATGGTGGTGATGATGATGCTGATGACGAGGATGATGCTGATACTGATACTGATGCTGATACTGATAATGATGCTGATGCGGATGTTGCTGCTGATGATGATGATGATGATGATGATGACGATGCTGATGCTGATCGCAATGATGATGTTACGACTGAGAGCACACATGAGCTTAATAAACACATCATCATAATAGGAAACTGTATACTCCGCACTTCATCGGCCTCCAGGACGGGAGATTGTGGAGAGTGTGCCTGTCGCACTTCGAAGCTGGAGTCGGACAAGGAAGAGCAGGAGGGAATAATGTCCAAGATTGATATCAGGGAGCGATTCGTCCCCTGGCCCCCTCCTCCTCCACCTCCTCCTCCTCCCCCTCCTCGTCCTCCTCCATCGCTGCCTCCTCGCACTTCATATCTTAACCTCCTCCTCCTCCTCCTCCTCCTCCTCCTCCTCATCCCTCCCCTGCGCCTCGCTCGCCTGCCCCTCGCCGCTCTATGGTGATCCCACCAGCCCTTGAGAGCGTGAGTGATTGAGAGCGTATCCTCGTCCACCTTCTTCCCCCTCGGCGAGGGGTTGACCACTCTTCCCAATTCATAAACACCCCTTCGAGGGATCTCCAGACCAATGGCAAGCCCCCCCATCACCATCCCTGTCAGAAAACTATGCAACAAAAACACAGCGGGGCAACTTCTGCGGTCATGCTCGTGGGCCCCGCGATCACTTTGTAACGTGTGGTTCCCAAATTGGGCTTGCCTAAAGGTTCTTACTTGCTTAAAGGCTGGTGCCTCCTATTGTTACTTTCCCCGTTGCTCGGAGGTTCCTCGGGCTCCCCGCCCCCGGTGCCACGTCGCCCGATTCCCAGTTCCTCGGGTTGCCCGGGTTTCTCGGGTTCCCTGCCCCCAGTGCCTTCTATTGTTACGTTGCCCGTTTCCCAAAGAGGTTCCTCGGGTTCCCTGGGTTTCACGGGTTCCCCGCCCCAGTGCCTCCTATTGTTACGTTGCCCGTTCCTCGGCTCGGGTTCCACAGGATCCTCGGGTTCCCGGGTTCCTCGGTTTCACCGCCCTACTGCCCGAAAAAATGCCAACCCATGCCAAGCCACGCCAAGCAATGCCAAGCCATGCCAAGCAATGCCAAGCAATGTCAACCAATGCTGAGCACTGCTAAGCAATGCCAAGAAAAGGCCAAGCAATGCCAAGCAATGCCAACCCATGCCAAACAATGCCAAATCAATGCCAAGCAATGCTAAACCATGCCAAGCAATGCCGGACAATTCCTAGCAATGCCACGCAATGCCAAGCAATGCCAACGCAGCTCAAGCAATGCCAACCCGTGCCGCGCAATGCCAAGCGATGCGCCCAACGATGCGCCCATGCAACCGGGTTTCCCCTAGTTGGAGTCGCGTTGGGTTCAGTTTGACAGGGACGGCGGGGGGGTATCATGTTGCCTGCTGCGCGCATGGCCACACCCTCACCAACAAAACTATACAAAGTGCACTTCGCGGCTAAATTGGGATCGTGTGCGGCCACCCCGCGGTCACTTTACATAGGTGTTGGACAAAGACGGCGGGTGTGCTGACAGATTGCCTGCTCCGCAGGCCAACCAAACACCATGATGGCCAACCCGCAGCGATTGTTCACTGATTTCCAACACAGACGGTGGGGCCGACATGTTTTCCGATGTGAAAGTATGTGCTGTCACGTGCGCGGGCCTACCTGGCACACTCTGCGGATGCCCCGAACGTGGCGCATCTCGCGCGAGAGGAGCACGCGGCACACATGGCGCACTTGGAGCACGTGGCGCATCTGGCGCGCCAGACGTGCCTGGCACGCTGGGGCCCGAATGGTGCCTGGCGCACCTGGCGCGCATGGCGCGCTTGGCACGCGTGGCGCGCCTCGCCCCAGCATCGCGGACATGGGGTCCGTTTTGTTTCCCAGTAGCTGTCCGTCCATAGACGCCCGCTGAACGCGCTGAGACTACAGTGCTACTTACCTCCACATCCCTCACCAGGGCAACTCCCCTGGGCATCGTTTCTGGATGGGCTGGGGGATCACGTACTTTTGTTTGATTGGCGGCTCGAAGGACAGATCCAGCGAGCGGGAATAACGTCTGGGCCACAGAGCGAGATAATTGGCTGCAGAGGCGCATAGGCCGCTGTAGCGAGTGCACATGCCAAGGACAAAGTGACCCTCATTGGGGACTAACGCAGGCGGCCCGACCGATGGGGACGCAAACACAGAACCGGAAGCAAACGAAAAGGAACAGTCGCACACATGGCGCCAAGCTCCGGCCGTACCGTACAGCACGAAAAGGCGTGGAGCACGCCGCACTGTGGCGGCACGGGGTGGCCAGGCGTGGCCAGCACCGTCCATGCAACAGGAGGTGAGGCAAAGGAGGGGGATCACGTACGCGAAGCGTCTAGAATAATCGCGTCTCTCATCTTCGCTTCCAGCTTCTCCTCCAGTCCTCCTCCTTCTCCCAGTTGCCCCCCCGTCGTGTCCTCACGCCTCCCCGATTCTCTTCCTCCTCCCTTGCCCACGCCAACCGACACCAGCCCCACTGATGCCCGCACCGCCGACGCCGGCACCCCCGACGCCAACACCGCCAGCCTGGGGGTCCACACCACGAGAAGAGGACGAAGGTGGCTGAGACGGGGGCGTCCAAGAGGGGGGGGGTGCAAATCAGGACCGGCGGCCCGTGCGCGGCCCAAGGGGGGGGGGGCTGGGGACGCAGCGGAACAAGAAGAGGCGCCATGAAATCCGAGGAAACATCATGGCCCACGCCGTGACATCCAGACCCCCTGTCGTCAGCACCCCCCGTCCCGGCCGCTCCCGAACCGCGAGGAAGAGGCCGAGATCGCAGGCCCGGGCGGGGCGGTCCTCGGGCGGGCCGGGCAGATCGGAGGCCGCAGGGGCAGCCCCGTAGGGGTCCTGGACGGCGCCGCTCGCGTCCTCGCGCGAGGGCGCGTCGCCCCGGGGGGCGCGGCGGGGAGGGGAGAGCACGCCTGTGCTCGACGGCCCCGGCCCCCGCCCCCGCCGCCCGTCCCTCGGCCTGCCTCGTCCTCGCTCGGCCCTCGGCCACGGAGCGCCCCCCCCTCCCACGGGTCGGACACGCTCCATCGGGCTGCGCGTGGACTTTCAGCAGCCCGTGCGGCGACACGGTCAGCGCCCCTGCTGAGCCAGGAACACAGCGCCCCTGCCTGAGCAGGTGACGCATCGAAAACCGTCCCTTCAATGAGAGCGACTGCTGCGTTGATGTGGACGATCACCGAAGCCTCTCTCTGACACGCCCAAAACTGCCAGCATCAGACGCAGAACACAGTCTGCGACTGGTTACGAGCAGCAGAAACATATAGGGATCCAACAATAGGCGCAACAGGAACGGTCGAAGAAAGATGGACGAGGAAGGTGAAGGGAACCCCGCACAGGTCACTTGCCGCACTCATGCGTGTCAGAGCACTGGGCCTGTGATGCCGCTCAGGCCGGCGTCGCGGGTAAGCAGACGCCCACGCCCATCCAATCCTGAGTTGCACACGTCGTCCCGCCCGTGCACGGGTACACGTTGGCGTGGGTCTCGCCCTGGCCCCAGGCCACGGTGTACTTACAGACGCCGTTCAGCGGCACCTGGACATATGGGTTGGTCTTGCAAGTGCACTGTCCCGCCTGGCACTCCTCGTCAGATCCCATGCAGCTGCCTGAACAGCAAGGGCCGCGTCCGGCGTTGTCACGGCAGATATCGCCATCGGCCTGGCACTTCTGCCCAGACTGCGTATTCTCTCTGTAAGTGCCCCACGGTACGCAGTAGTCGGTGCCGTTCAGGTCCGCCCACTCGAGGCCGCCGCAGCACGCCTGGAACATCCTTTGGCAGCGCGCCCAACAGGCTGAGGCAAGGGAAGTGGCCTTGAAAAAAGCATAGGGGGCTTCTCCAAGGGGATCGCAGGCTTCCAGGAACACTTCTCAGGAGGCGGGAGGGCATCTAATCATATCCAAGGCTCCGCAAAACTCCCAGGCCACGACCCCATGGAGACAACAAGGGCGGCGATGCCACGTACCCATCGGGTCAGGCCTCGGAATCCCGACCGCGGTGGCATGGACATGGAGACGCACACTCGTCGCTCGAGGTTACACCGCCCTTTCCTCAGAGCCGCCGAGTCCTGTTGCCAGTCCTGTAGGGCGTCAGGCACGGCGGGGAGCCCGACGCGGCGCGCTCCCTCACCGACAGCAGGCTGGTCTCCTCCTCCAGTTCCACGGCCGCGCCGCAGGCCTAGGCGGCGACACCAGAAACCTACCCCCACCAACCATCGCTTCGCCTGAAGCGATGTGAGGCGGGTGTAGAAGAAGAAAAAACGCCATCAACATAAACGCTGGACCCCCTCCCTGGCGCGCGGAGCGCGCCAAGGGCGGCACGGGAGGTGCCGCTGGGGGAGCCCAACGCGGATCCGAGAAATCCGCGCGGAACGCCAACAGTTTATGCTTACGTAGTTTGGTCTTCTTCGAGGGGGTCGGGTTCGGATTTCGCCACGTGCTCGGCGAATTCCGAACCCTACCCCTGCCGCCCATCGAGTTGCCTTGAGTAGTGGATCGGCGAGGGCCGCCACAGATTCCGCCCTGGTGGGTCCCCAGACGACTGCCAGGGTCCCAATGTGCGTTTCTTTAAATCGGCGTTTCGACATTGGGCGGAGGGGGGGGGGTCTGGCTCCAGACCTCTGCTTAGTGCGGCTGTTTGGAAGAGTGCTGCTTCTGGGGGAGCCTCCACTCGCTCGAAACAGGCGCCAAAAGACAGCCAAGATCCACTCCGCGCCGATCGGCAAAACGATGAATAAAACAACGATCACCAACGAATCCACTGTTCGAGCCGGGTCTGGCCGTGGCGACGAGAGGGTCCCCGAGCGGCTAGAAAAACCTCGAACCTCGATCCTCGAGGTTCGAGCCTCGAGCCACCGCCGCCGATCGAGCTGTTGCTCGGCGAGTGTAGGGTGAGGTCGAGCATGCCCTTCTACAGGCAGATTTTGGAGGTGGAAAATGAAGAATGCCGGCGGTGCGCACAAGGGGGGGGGAGGGAGGGGGGAGGGCTTCTTAGAAGGAGGCTGCTTCTCAGAAGGCGCCAGTCTTACATCTCTAGATGAGGCCCGCGCCTTCCAAGAAGCAGGGTGCTTCTGAGAAGCAGGGGGTGCTTCTAAGAAGCCCTCCCCCCTCCCCCAACCCCCCTCTGCGCGTGGCCGAGCATGATCAAGCAAAGCTCAAAACTAGTCTAACATTGTCGAGAAACCGTCCCCAGACTATTTCTTTGACCATGCCCGACCTGCAGGGAGAAGGTGCGGATTTCGACACCGAGAGGCCGCCTCTCCCGGGCAGAGCTCCGCCGCCGCCGCCGCCAGAAGCACGGCCGCCGCCACCAGCGGGGGCGCTCCCGAGGCCAGCATGCCCGCGGCTCGGCGTCCTGGCAAAGTCTGGAGAGCCGCAGGTGCTCGAGCCGCGCTGCGGGCCCCGTGCTAGTTTAGACAAGCGCGTTCCACTACTCGCAGAGTGACCACTCACAAGTGGCCTGGATCCGCCGCGGGGGACTCACAATATATGATGTCGAGGCGGACCAATGTTTCTCCGACGTTTGCGAGCAGGCACTCTGCGAGTAGTGGACCGCGCGCGGTGATCATTAGAAGAAAAACAAATTCACACACAGAAGCTTTCGGTGGCACGACGGTCGGCGAGGGCGTAATGCGGAGCATGGATGTGGCCAGAGCCGGAGAGAGGTCATCAGGCCGAGCCAGGCACGTGGCCGTTGCTGCCGGTCCGTGGCAGGAGTGCGGCTGACGCTGACGGAACTACGCCGTTCCGAAGGTTGACCACTGCCAGGATAGACTGTGGCACATAGAGCCCTCGAACGGAGCCAGAAATGTTCCCGACGCCGAAGCGACCAGACCAAGCCACAAATGTGTCCGAGCGAACAGCTCGAGGCGCCCCGAGCCCCTTCGAAATGCAAGCTTGGCTCCTGGCTCCGACAAGCCAACTGCACCGTCTGGCGACTCTCACGCTCTCCGCCACCCCCGGAGCAGCCCTGGAGGTGGAAACTGGTCACCAGGAGCGCGGCGGACGGGTTCGCCGTCGGCCCACTCGAGGCGGCGGCAGACGGGGAGGGGAGAGCACAGCCGCCATCAGCCCGGCGGGCGGCCTGCGGCTCAGAGCTGTGCCCACGGCCCTCCCTCCGCTCCCCGCGGCTCCTCGTGTCGCAGGTCTGCCCCCTCGCCCAGTCGCGAGAAGAGGCTGGCTCGCACACAGGCGCACCAGTCCTCGTGATCGCGACGCACCATGGTTCGCGCACAGCGCGCGCGCAGAGACGTGAGTCCACGTCGGATAGACTCATGGCCGACTCCACTGATCGGCGAGATGGATGGAGTTGTGGTCGATGTCCGAGCCTGAAGTAAGTTCAACGAGGTCTCCAAGGTCGGCCGAGGTTGACCCGGATCGAAAAGCAAACCATTCCACAAACTCGTCATATCTAGGGGGTGGGTCGAAGCGGCGTTGGGGCGTTTTACAACTGTTTGACTTTCTCTTGGTGCGTCTTGGGTCTTTTGGTCTGGGACATCCAAAAACGCCTCCAGGAGGCTTCCGAGAGGCCTCCCGAGAGATTGCAGGCATCCAGGCACGGTGGCAAGATGAGCCGCAAACCAATAGATGTATATATATATATACACCACTACCTACAATCGTGGTCTGTCTACAAAAATTGTTGGCATGCAATTGTCTGACTGGTTTAAATATGTGCAGAAACTTCTAAGTGTAGCCTCGGCCGATCCAACCGGCCGCACAGACAGACCCGTGCGAACCACAAAGGTGCTTCTGCCACATCGAAGGCGCGCAAGGTGGCCTCCAAGGCGGCCTAAGATGCCCCGCAGACGGAACGAGAGGCCACAAAGTCGCCTCAAGAAGGCTACATGAGGGCCTCCAGGAAGCAAACATCCTTGAACGCGCATTTTGCACAATTTCCGCGATCTCGCCATTTCGGGCTTACGATATCCGAAGATGGCCTCAGAGGCCTCCAAGGTAGACCCAAGATGGCCCCGAAGCCCCCAAGAGGGCCCAACAACGTGCCAGGAAGGCCCCACGACGGCCTAAGAGCTCCCCAAGACGTCTCCAGAAGGGCCCCACGCTGGTCCCGCAGACCTCCAATACAGCCCAAAAGCGCCCAAAAGAGGGCCCCACAATGGCCCAGAGAGGCCACTCAGAAGGCCTCCTAAGGCCAAGAAGCCTCTTTTAGGTCCCCAACGCCACCAAAGAGGCCCAAGAAGCCCTCCGAGGCCCCCAAGAGTTTTCCAGCAGGCCCAAGGGGCCCCCAAGAAGCCTCCTTTTTCTCCTCCTCTTCCTCCTCTTCCTTCTCCTCCTCCTTTGAACCTCTCTCTCTCTTCCTCCCTCGAGTGTTTGCATGTGTGTCTGTCAATCTGCATAGCATTTCTGGAGGTTTGCGAATCAGATATTGTTCAAGCCGTTGAAGAAAAGCGGGCACTTCGAAGTTTCGGGTTGCCCGCATAGTGAGCCTTCCAAAATACTCGGTGCTCTGTTTGATCAATTACATGATTGTCTGGACTTGCTGTCTGGGGCTCAAAACTTTCAAACAGAAACAAGTTGGCGCCTGCGGGCACTCCTCCGGACAAAACGCTTCTACGGTGTGAAGAGATGGTCAGGCTATATACACGCCACGTCCTGTGTTACCCGAGAGCGCCACTCTGGAGGTCGATCCCGCCAAAAGGCACATGTTTAATCAGGGCGACAACTTACAATCTTGGTGTCATGATGCGGTAGGCTCATCGACAGAATCCGCCAACCCAGTCGGCTTGTGAGAGGCTCTTCGACTCGAGGCCAACCCAACCCAAACTGAAGTACGCCAGCATCATCTAATTTATCGTCGTCGTAAGGGAGATCGAACAACAAAGAAGATCGAAATATGCCGAAATTACGTAAAAGGGAAACCTTTTGTCCCTTCCCAGCAGGGGGGGGGTCCCTGGGTGGGTCCTGGAGGTGGTCCTGGGGTGGGGGTCCTGGGGGTTGTGGCCCATCCCCCGCTGGGGGCTTTCACTTTCGTTTCTCGCCTCCTAGACGCCCGCCCCCGAGCCGAGGAGACAGACAGCTCTCCTCCTCCTCCTCCTCATCCTCAACTATTTTTGTCCTTACTTCTCCTGGTCGCACCCCGAAGCCAATTTTTAGGGCGGGCCGGGCGTTCCGCCTGAGACTTCCTCACCTTTTACGACCCTGAAGCTTAACAATCGGCAACAATTTCACAGATGGAGGGCGGGTCGTTTTCAAACTGTGGCTCTCGCCTTAGCGCCGCGCACATTCGTTTTGAACATTTGCATGGATTCATGGATTGAGGGCGACTGATTTTCAAAATGTGGCGTTCGCCTTAGCTCCGCGCACACTCGTTTTTTAACGTTGCCAGAGCTCCACGGATTGAGAGTGGTTTCTTTTCAAAATATGGTTTTCTCCTTAGCGCCGCGCGCATGTGTTATACATGTGCTTTACAACATTGCAAGAGTTTTGCGCGTTCAGGGCGGTTCCTTTTCAAAATGTGGCTCTCGCCTTGCTGCCTCGCACACTCGCTTATACCATTCGCAAGAGATCCATGGATCCCCATGATCAGCGTACCAGACATAATGTTTAGGACAGCTTCAGGATTACGCGGGCGCAACAGTTACGTTGATTCGCGGTGATAAGTCCCAACAATGGCGTTCTGGCACCATTCAGGCTCGTCAAGACGCAACAGTCAGGTTGATCCGTTGCGTTGGAATCCCGAGACCAATGCTTGGGCATGCTCCAGAATCTTCAAACGGTTGTCTTCCGACGAGGCACTTCCCTCAATGGAGATGAACCGTTGTAGGAGCCGGTGAAGAGGTAGCTTGGAGGGAGGGTTTATTCCAATATCGTTGATGACTCTGGGGTTTACAATGGTCCGCCTCCTCTTCCTCCTCCTCCTACTCCTCCTCCTCCTCTCCTTCTCCTCCTCCCTCTCCCCCTACCCCTCCTCCTCCTCCTCCTCCTCCTCCTCCTCCTCCTTGTTGAACCAGTTGAACGCTGCATAGGACTCCCGCACAGTCGCAAGAGGCCTAGCAAACATAAACAAGAGAAGACCTTACCTCCCTTGGGGCACCTGGACACTCCGTCCGAACACCGCACGGGAGCTGGGGTCCTTGCCTGCAATCAACATGGCCAAGGACTTCTCAGCGGCCGAATTACGCGGGCGCTCGTGACACGGGTCTTTCAGGTACCGACTGCGAGCAACCCCAAACGCCGCGCATTTCCGATACCACACCACAGTCCCCGACGGTCCCGAGCCCATCCAGAGAACGTGGGAGCGGTGTGCCGACGCGGCGATGGCAGGGATGCCACGGCACGGGAAGGCGGCGAGGGCTCCTCTGGACCTCGCCTTCGTCCCGCACTCCGCACAAACAAAACTCTTCCCCTCTCTACAGATCGTGTGTCCGTTGGGGTCCGCAATTAATTGGAGCTGTGGGGTGCCCCTGGCGGGCCTCTTGGACTTGGGAGCCCGAAATCTCTCCGCATCCTTGAGCCCAAGCCTCGAGACCTCCCCCAACATCAGCCCGAGAAAACGTCCAACCTGCCTAATGCCAGGGGCGACCGTCCTGTACCAGCTCCTCGCGGGCTCAGGCTGAGCCTGGAGCTGGGTTCCTTCTCGCGCTAGGCGGTCGGCTTCTCGATTGCCCCGCCAGGCGTAGAAAGGAAAGTTACTAGCAACTGCATCACCCTGCGAGAGGTGGGACTTGATCTTGCGCAACTGGATGTTGTTCCACCCGGTATCTCGAGCTTTGGCCAAGACCTCAACCCAGACCTCAGCAAACGCAAACCTCGAGACATCCTGGTCTGGGCCAAAGCTCAATACGTAAATCAAAGCCTTGCAATCAGTCCAGATCTCTAAAGGGCCAGCCTCAGCTAGCTTCAGAGCCATCAAGAGCGCCCACAACTCTCCGCCGAGGTTGGACTGTAGCGGGTGTGGGAGGGGGCCATAAAGACTCCCCAGGATCGTGCCCTGCCTATCTACTGAAACTGCCGCCCAGCCTGCTCGTGTACACCACGGCAGTCCTGGGTCGATGGCTGATCCATCCACGCAGATTATTCCTTCCAGAAATCCATGCCTAGGGAAAACATGCCACTGCCACTCCTGCTGCACGATCGGGCTGGGTGTATAGCTAATTGGTGACGCCACCAGACCTCTAGTTTAAAACAGGCGCCATCTCGGTTCCGTGGCAGTGGACCCCGCGTGAACGAGACGCTGAAACCCTAGGGTCTGACGGTGCCCATGGAAAGCAAGGCAGACATAACATCGATGCTTCTTACATCCCCACGGGTGCCCACAAACCTGACACTCAGCGGAGGCCGAGCGCCTGCCCAGGAAAAAGGTCAACCTGAGCAGCCA